CTGCATAACAGAGTCCTGGAACTCACTCTGTAGACCAGGATGGCCTTGAACTCACAGAGATCCACCTGCCTCTGCCTCCCAAGTGCTGAAATTAAAGGCTTGTACCACCATGCCCAGCCCAGCTTAAAACGTCTTTACGACAAAATTCCGGCATTCCCATCTTAGGGTCTGGTCATTACGTATTAATTACCTACTAGGTGTCTAGACCAGTGTGACAGACCACAGACCAGTGAGCAAGACATAAAACCTCTGCCCTCATAGCTCACACATCACGGATGACTAAACAGCACAGGATGCTCATTCTTATCTACTGGCACTGAGATAAAACCTGCAGCCCCCCGGCGTGCTGTGTGAGGAAAATGCGCACAGCTCATCCAAACCACTCTTACCCTCATGCCGAGCACCAGGAACCCGATCTCCTCCATCAGAGGGTACTTGCTGACCTGCTGCTGGATTTTCTCTGAGGAGGCAAAGGGGTCATAGCTCTTCCGCCCTATCTTCACATCCATTATACAGGGCTTGTTGAACTTATGAGTCACGTCTTCCAGTTTTAGGTACACATCTGTTAGAGAAAAACCTTCATTAGCGACAGGCAATCATATCACTCAAATATCCTCCAGGGAAAAACAAAGAGCAAATGCTGGAGGAGAGAAGGCTCCTTAACAAGCATAGACGTCAGAGAAATTCCTCCTGTGTGTGATGCAGACGTCACTGGGGCGAAGAGAATGTGCAGCCTTACGATTCCCTATGAACACACTGCCTTCTGGGCTCAGAATGAGATCTCCTAGTGTTCTAAGAGTTTTGTAGTTTTCCTTCATCTCACATTGGTAAACTGGGGACTGAATCCAAATGACAACAAAGTTGCCCTTGCTTCTTCCAAATGCACGGCTACTCTGTCCCCACCTCAGTGCCCTGCACACATTTGCTCAGGGAAAACTTGTCATCACACCACGTCATCACACCACGTCATCACACCACGTCATCACACCACGAGAGCCGCTTCTTGCATTTGACCTTGAAAGCAGCATTTGACCTTGAAAGCAAGGACTCAGGTGCAAAGAGAAAAAGAAGAAAAGAAATAATTCTGTCTCTTCCTAAGGAAAACAACCCTGCCAAAATTCTCAATGAGATCATGATTCATGCTTTAGTTCTCAGGGCTGAGGAGTGGGCTGGTGTGTACAAGCACCAGGAGGACCCACGCAAAGCGGGACAAAGAATCTACGATCCAAGCCCTCCTACAGAGAGATGGGAGGCAGAGGTAACATCCTTGGGAACTTGCAGGCTGGCCATCTGGCATATGCAGCAGCCAATAGGGAATCCCATCCTAAACAAGGTAGAAGCTGAGAGTCAATACCCAAGGTTGTCTTCTGACTGCTACATGTGTGTGATGGCTCATATTAGTGCATGCATGCAAAATGTATGCGTGTGCACACACAGTAAAGTTGGAAAAAGTGTCTATTTCCTCTAAACTAGGTAAAAGGTACCACAGCAGGAGAAACTATGTACACTAACGCATGTCTCTCTTTCCTGTCCCACCCAGACTGGCACAGTTTGGAAATTCCAATACAGATGTTTGCATGGAACCAAATTAGACCAACTCAAGGCCCTCGGACCTAACAGGGCTAAGCCTTCTGCACAGGATGAGGGGTAAAGAGGTAAATATCATCTCTTGATCACGCAGGGCGGGCAGGTTTGCACTGCCAGTGGGACAGCGGCCTGGAAAAACACTACAGGCAGCCTAGGAGCCCGAACCTGAAACAAGCTGCCCAGGCACCTTGACAACAGGCCTGGACACAGCACCAGCACAGGCCTGACCTGAAGAGCAAAGGACAAGCAGACAAAGCTCAGCTGGACACAGCCAAGCTTCTGAGTCTGAAAAGACAACATGGGATGGAGAATCTGGGAAAGGATAGCTTCACCCTCACTACAGTGTTGACGAGCATCAATAGTAAAGGCAAACCTTAACACGGGAGATACCCAGAACAGCAGCGATATCATTCTTAACTTGGAGAAGATGTCATACTGAGTCATACTGAAGTAAGGCTGGGTATGAGTGTAACCTGTCAGCCGGGAGGCACGCACACATCTCAGTGGAAGACTGATTTCTGTGTGTCAAATGCGTGACTCTTGAGAATTTAAACAATGACCTGCAAACCCAACTTAGAAATCCCTTTGTTCTTTCTTCTCCTTCCATAGAGTGAAGGCCTACAAAACATGGGTGTTGCCTTTCCCATCCATTCCCACGGCACTGGACACTATGGACCCAGTCCGCCTTACACTATAACAGATTCAGTCATGTCTTCAATAACTAGGGCCCAAACGCCATGGCTCTACTTTATGTTTAGCTCAAAGAGCCAAGTGCATGTTTCTTTAACTTACCTGGTTCTCGTGTGTCTCTGCTTGGGATTACATCACTGCTAGACAACGAGCACTGGATCAACATGAAAACGAGTGAAGGCCTTCTGAGGATGAACTAGGTGTTTCCTTTCCGTTCCCTGGCCTCCGCTTCTCACACACACACACACACACACACACACACACGCACGTGGAAATCAGAATGATATCTCCCTCCCTTTTTCTTTTCTGGTGTTTTGAAACAGGGTCTTCCTAGGCTGGCCTTGAACTCACTGCATTCCCCACTTTAGCCTTCCCAGGGCCGAGACTACAAGAGTGAAATATCACACAGCTAAGACTCTCATTTGGATGTTTTCTTCAAAGTTGTAAAAACCAAACATCAAAGCCTGCTTTAGGCATGCAGAGGTCTAGCCTCTGGGGATGGGGATGAGTGTCTGTCATCTCAGCACTAGAGGCTAACGACAGCCTGGGCATCGTGGTTATCAGTACATAGTGAGAGCTTGTCCCAAAACACACAGAAAGAAAGGAGCACAAGTGTTCTTAGGAGAGAACCGGTGCCGCGTGGCAAGTAGCTTAACACAGCTTTTGACAGAGAGAAGTAAGAGAGTGGGCTATAACCTGAGTGCCAGACTGTGAGACTGACAGCAGTCTTGTCTATCAACCTGAAGACTGCTTCACTTTGAAAAATGTCACTAGCAAATCCTTTCAGTAAGTAGAATAAAGCGCAAGTCAAAGTAGGTCAGTCTTGAACTCAGTCTGGAAGGATCAAAGGCATGTCTACAGGACCGTCTTCTGAGGCAACGGCACACCCGTAACAAAAGATGTCTCCTCATGGAGGTCCCGTGGGTCCAGGGAGGAGCAGTGTTTCCCCATGGAACCATTAATGAACTGTGGACTGAATGGAAGAGGAGGAGGTTCCTGACATATAGGAAGTATGGGTGTGGGGCTGGCCTCCAGTTGGTGCAGCCTGAGGTGCGTCACCAACGCTACTGTTCAGCATGGTGCACCACAACTCCAGTGCCACCCACAGACCCCAGAAATGCTCCTGTCACGATCTGGAACCCAGGCTACAACCACAGTCGCCGTACCAGGCCAACATCTGAGGCGAGCTTGGAGCTAGGATTCAGAGGTGACCTGCTTCTGACAATTCTCAGATCTTTGGCTCATGGAACAACATGGCATTCCCCTTGTGAGAAGTGAGTGATCCCTTTGGTGGGGACAATGGCAGAGAGAGGAAGGGCTGGGGGCACGTGCAGAAATGAATGGCAGCACCACCATGTCATGTGTTAGTCTGTGTCGCCCTCGCATGTACCTCAATGGCATACACAGAGCACAGGCCCACCATGGTCCAGAGTGCTAAGGATGTGTAGGGACAGTTCCAGAAGTTCCTCACATGATAAGGCATTGCCCTGAGGCACACGGGCAGCAGCATTTAAGCCTTGCCTTCCAGAGCTGCTCCTGAGGCACAGGAGGAACGTTCTATCTGCAACAGGGCCTGGTACTCACTGAGCACTGGACTGCAAGGACACACTAAGGATTAAACATGAGCATGACTGACGGGTATTAAAACCTGTGCTAGGTCACCAGGCATGCGAGCTGAACCGCAGCATCCAGAATAAACACAAACGCAGGCTAATTCCCTAGAGCAAACTCTTCCCCTGCCCAGGAAGACAAATACAACGTAATAACCACAAAATGAAAAGGCATAATCACAACTCAAGCAGGCACTTGATAACAGATACCCTCCACCCTGAAGCTAATCTTAAGCCTTGGCCCACAGTTAAACATTAACGAGAACATCTATTTATTACATATTGATTTTTATCTCGAGCTGAAAAGAGCTAAGACGGCAAAATGCAATCTGATGCAGGCTCAAGCGGGCTCTTGCTGGTGCTCGCCCATCATGATTATCTGCCCAGTCTCCAGTCTCCTCACTTCCCACACAGACACACCTGCTCACACTGCTGCCAACCCCACTGGTGCCTCCCTCCTTTGCTTAGGGATTGGTTTCGGTCACAGACAGAAGAAAAGACTACAGCAGACGCGACAGCGGCTTCTCTTCTCTGATGCTGCATTTCTTTCCTAATACGCTTCATCCACAGCAAAGAGACAATGGCCAAACAGAAAATGGCTGGGCATGGTGGGGAACACCTTTAATCCCAGCACTCTGGAGGCAGAGGCAGGTGGATCTCTGTGAGTTTCAGGCTGCCTTGTGCGCATAGTGAATTCCAGACAGCCAGAGCTATGTAGAAATACCCTATCTCCAAAAAAGAAAAGAAAAAAAAAGTGCACACTGATGTGTGTGTGCACACAAACACACAGACACACGCACACACACACACACACACACACACACGTATAATACATGCTTATGTTTATCTATGTCATAGCCATCATGTTCTCCAAAGACTCTTCTCAGAAAATATTCTTTACAGAGCATGTGATCAAACCGGTCTCCCTGAATGTGGCTGACAATGGGGGCTGACTGAGAAGCCAATGATAATGGCACTGGGATTTGATTCTACTGCATGTACTGGCTTTTTGGGATCTTAGTCTGTTTGGATGCTCACCTTCCTAGGCCTGGATGGAGGGAGGTGTGCCTTGGACTTCCCACAGGGCAGGGTACCCTGCCCTCTCTTAGAACTGGAGGGGGAGTGGGGAAGGGGAGTGGGAGAGTGGGAGGGAAATGGAGGAGGGGAGGAGGTGTACATTTGAATGGTATTATTTATAAAGCAATAAAAAAGAATAAAAAATCTTTTCATTTTGTGTATGACTGTTTTATCTGCAAGTATGCATAAGCACCAGGTGTGTACAGATGCCTGTAAAGTCAGGAGAGGTATCGCATTCCCTGGAGTTATAGTTAGAAGCCACCTTGAGGATGCTGGAAACTGAATCCAAGAATAGCCAGTGCTCTTAACCTCTGAGCCACCTCTCCAGACCCGACCGAGAAACTTGTTCAGCTGCGTATCTATCTCATTACCCAGACCTCCACCCCCACGGTCCTCGGCACTAGCGGCTCAGTGACAAGCAGCAGTGCTCAGCACAGCTCACGGGGACCGGGATAAGCCAGCTTCCTTCTCTGGTCTCATGAGTGGCATCCCTGAGAAGCGCCACTCACGGCAGAGGGGAAAGGAAAGATGCTATAACAGGAAGTGTGTTCACAAGCACAGGAGACAGGTAACGGAATACAGAGAATGAAGAGCCATGGATATGGCGGCATATGCCTTTAATTTCAGCATCCAGGCAGCAGAGGCAAGTCGACCAAGATTACATAGTAAGACCTAGTTTCAAAAAAACTAAAAACAAGCAAACAAACAAAAGCACCCAAGGGCAGTTACTACGGTCTATGGAGTAACTATCAGAAAGTTTTTCGCAATCATAAACATCTGCATATATTTGGGACTAAGGCCTTCAAGCCAGAGAACAAGACAGACAGACAGAAAAAATGGGGAGTGAATGAATCTAACATTGCTAATCCAAACATCTGAAATCCAACATGGGCCACAATCATTAAGTTTGTGAGCACCGATATAGGGCCACACTGGCAGCACAGGTTAGATTACAGTCTAAACCAGGTTCACCACAAATGCCGTAGAAACTGCCTTCAAGCCAGGCGGTGGTGGCACACGCCTTTAATCCCAGCACTGGGGGGGAAGAGGCAGGTGGATCTCTGGAGTTCGGGACAGCCTGGTCTACAAGAGCTAGTTCCAGGAAAGCCAGGACTGTCACACAGAGAAATCTTGTCTCAAAAAAACAAAAACAAACAAACAATTTTAAAAAAAAAAGTCTTCAGTTTTCACAAAAGTGAGTCCCAAGTCTGGAGATGGGTCCCATCACCCAGACACATCTGTCTAAACAAATACTCCCAGGCTGGAAACACTGCTAGACCTGAGCGGTTGAGGTAAGCGGCAATCACCCTGAACACCACAGAGCCTCTGCTTGCTCTAAGACAGTGAAGGACAGGCGGTTCTTAAGTAACCCATGTTTATTTAGGGCTGACAGTCTAAGGCCAGCCCTAGATTGATCACTACTAAGGAGTTTCTAGACAGAGGAGCCCAAGACACCCCAGAAGTGACATCTGACACACTAAGTTAGGGACCAAAGCTCAAACAGTGTTACAATGTGGTTCAAGACCCGCACCAGCAAAGCCTGAAGCTTTGACGAACTGAACACGTCACCAGCCTCCACGACAGATGTGCAAGGTCTCATCTCTCTGCTGTGGAACGTCCCAAAGGACTGAAAGTCAAAACCTGCAGGTTGGGTGTAAGGCAGGAGACGGAAGCTATGCCGGCAAGGCACTTCTGTGTGGGTTCTTAATGTTTTATTCTTTAGATAAGAAACGGACATTCGCAAATTAGTACAGTACTAAGACGGACCCGTGCGACTGTAACAGATCAGTTAATGTGTAACACGTCACTCAAGAAAACGGTGACTAAAAGAGGAGAGTACCAGTGAGTTCTGTTTAGTGACGGCAGGCAAGAGAAACACTCTCACTCCATGTCTTACAGCCCTTACACAGACCCTTCATAAAGTCAAGCTTGGGAACTAAAGCCTGAAATGTACTCAAAGCGCATTACCGTTTGGTGCGGTGGGCGGGGACCAGACGCCGTAGTATTTGGGCAGGTGTTTCCGCAGCTCCAGGAGAACAGCATCGGCACAGTCAGCGGCGTAAACCTGAAAGAGGGGCAGTGTTGGTTAGGTTTCTGTGACCCCTCAGGAAGAACAAGTATGACAGACTCGTAATCACCCGGCACGGGTTTGTAATAATAACCAGCTACTTATGGCACGCCGACCTGGCGATCCGCGAAGTCTCCTGATGATGTCCTACCTGTCAACATCCTTCAACTCTTTGCCAGTCTGTGAGTTGTATATAACTGACCCAAATTCACAATAATTCTCTGAACACAGGAAAGTAAATTCTGGTGTGCGTAGGTGTTGAGATCCAGCTGCCCTCACTCCCCCTGACTGACAGCAGAACTTCCTTGTGGTCTGTAATTGACAAGGATGTTTGTGTTCTTTCTGGCCAGTGGGTCTCCACAGAAGCAGTAGAGGTATAAAAGGTTGCTGGGCAAAATAAAGGTTGCTGTTCTTCCACCTGAAAAGAAGAATCCGTGTCTCAATCCCGGCACCCCCCGCCAGTCTTGGCTATCCAGGCTGTGCTGGCTGCAGCACGTAGGGGGAGAGGGGGCAACTCGGCTAACTTTTTGAGCCATTTTTATTTGTATTTTTTACAAATAAATTATTTTTAAGTATTTTGCTCATTTAGTGTGTGTGTAGAGGACAACTTAAGGGCATGAATTCTTTCCTTCCACTATGTAGATCCCAATCAAATCCAGGTTATCAGACCTAGAGACAAGCTCCCATCTTGCCAGGCTCCTTGAATCATTTGTAACACTTGTCTGGCTTTCCCACTAAATTAAATATTTTACATATTATCTATTTTATATCTATGAGACAAGTTTTATTCATTTCAAACTCTGAGAGCCAGCTTTAACATACATCTAAACGACCATGATTTTATGTGTGAGCACACTACATAGGTTACAATGAAACTACAAACAACTTTTAGGAAACATATAAGATAGAATTTCATTGACCAGGAGCTGAACACTTCATAGCTAAGAGGAAGGGGAAAGAAAATAGATTATTGCCGGGTGGTGGTGGCTCACGCCTTTAGTCCCAGTACTTGGGAGGCAGAGGCAGGAGGATCTCTGTGAGTTCGAAGCCAACCTGGTCTACAAGAGCTAGTTTCAGGACAGGCTCCAAAAGCTACAGAGAAACCCTGTCTCGAAAAACCAAAATAAATAAATAAATAGATAGGAAGAAAGAAAGAAAGAAAGAGAAGAAATTATTGTCTTTCTACCAGAAATCTACCGAGAAATGCTGACTACTAAGTGAGCGAACCATGTTTCATCCGCGCAGTGTGGGCACGCCACTCACGACCGATAGTCACGCACACGCTAACCCAAAGACTGGAGCACAGAGCTCTAGGTTCAATCTTCGAGCCCAGGATCTTGTCGTGCCGCTCAGGAGGCACGGAAACAAATCTGCCCTGCTGGGGAATCGATCACTTACAGGGTGAGCCGTGACCCAACCCCAGTGCCCCAGATGTGGACACATCTGGAGACGGCAGGGTTCGTCATGCTGAGGGTGTTTTCAGGAAGCGTGCTAGGACACAAACCCACAGAGGAAGAGCTGAGGAGACAGTCCATGGGCAGGAAAGGCAGAGGCCTTCGAGAGAAATGCCTGACCAGGAGACCGAGTGTGAAAAACTTCGCTTCTGTATTTTAAGCCAAACAACTTGTGTTATTTGTTGTGGCTGCCCTAGCCAGTGATCACACCACCTAACCGCCCACTCCTTGTGTTGGGTGTGCGCGACATGGAAGGCTGCTTTCAGAGGGTCAGAGACTACACGGAACAGAACAGTGGGTAATAACGGAAGGAAAAGGAGCTCCCAGTGGGGTGGAGAGAGGCACCTTCCTGCTCTCTTAATCAGGATGAGGAAAATCAATACAAGCCCAAACACCACCAATTATAGTTAGATAAGTGGTGCACACCTGTAATCATGGTACTTGGGAAACTGAGGAAGACTGCATCCTGAGCTCCCTAGTAAATTACTAGGCTATGCAATGAGACCCCTTTTCAAAATAGCAACCAGAGAAAGCACAGATATAAGCTGGGTCTCAGTGAAGTTCATGACTTTGTGCTTGAAAGGACACTACCAAGACAGTGAAGAGAAGACAGCTACAGAATGGCAGGGAAGGCCTACAAGTGGGCATTTGACAGGGGCTTATATCCACAATGTACTACTGTAAGGATGGAACTGAACTTTCCACACACACTTCAACTGAAAAACAAGGGAAATACCTGAGCAAGTGTCGCCCAAGGGAAGACACACAGAAGCCAGCAAGCACATGGAGGGAAAGGTGGATCTGTGGCTGGCGGGCAGGGAACGGGGAGCCACGTGGTTAGAATGTTTGAAGTTAAGAAATAATTGGTGGTCACGAACACTGTGAACACACTAAAAATATTCTGCGTCATATGATGAATTAGGTATCAGGAATGAGTCCTTCTCCCACAGCGCAGAGAAACACTGAAGACTCGAAGAGGCAGGGCATGGTGGCACACAGCGCTGGAAAGGTTGAGGCACAGGCATCGTGAGTCCTGCGCCAGCCTGTGATACACTGAGACCCTGCCTCACAAGGCAAAACAAGTCTCTAAGAAGCTGCAATAAAAGCACTAACTTAGCATTTCTGAGAGCGACAAACTCTCTGTTACGTGTTTTTCAGATCGTGGGTCACGACCAGTTGATTGAAATCAACTCAGTGACTCAGAATAAGAACCTTTAGGATGTGAAATAACGGAAAATACCAGGCTGCAGCAGAAACCCTGGGAGATAAACCGTTTCCACAAAGCACGAAGCTTGTCTGTTACGCGGGGACCCGGGGCATGCTGTCAAACACGTTTCTCACGCTGAGTCACCGCAGAACACTGAAGAGCACGTAAGACAACAAAGCGTCTTGCACCACTTACCATGGTATAAAATTCCAGCTCGCGTGGGCCCCGCGGCGGCGGCTGTAGCTGTTTCAGAACGGTACCGTCTGGGTGTTGGAGTATGCCTGCGCAACAGAAATCAGGCGACGGTCAATGTTTTGCTTATGGTACCCTGCTTCACAGGGAACATAGGCTTTCATACATGGGAAGATTTCCTGTTACAATGAGAGACCGCGCACATTTAAGCTTTATTATCTTCCATTCTTCTCCCTTAGTGAGAGTCTCTCATGGCCCCTGGATTTTCTAGAAACTTCTCAGTAATAGTTTTTCTATGATATGTTATGATTAAATAAAAGAAAACAAAAGCAGTAACACAAATCCAGTCCATTTTTATAAACAAGAAAAAAATGTGTGTTTACAGTAGCCATATACGAATTTCATATTTGGCAATGTTTTATAATCCTCTCATCTTCCCCGCTCAGACGTACTGTGCACAGCTGTGCAAAGTCCCAGCCTGAAGCAGTCAGAGCAGCCTTTTTATAATCTGTCCGTGCAACACGAGAGTCTTTTTCCAAGTCACCACAGGCACACCAGCACTGGCACAGCCCATGCAGTACCAGCGCTCATTACATACCGAAATCTTCAATCTTTATCTGCTGGGATGTCACAGAACCATGACAATTGGGACAAAAGTCTACTCAGAGTTTTACAAGACACTCCACTTGTATCTTTACTTCTTTTTGTCAATTGACATTAACGTTTTCATTACTGCTGTGGGGCCTGGGATCCAAGCTGTGACTCCCCGCCCAGCCGGTTGCAGTTGCCTAATTGGCTGCTTGTAAATACGGTGTGTGCAAGGGGCAGGGGTGCGCGCTCTCTCTCTCTCTCTCTCTCTCTCTCTCTCTCTTGTTTTTTTAGGCATGGTTTCTCTGTCTCTGTGTAATAATAGCTTTGGCTGTCCGGGAACTCACTCTGTAGAGCAGGGTGGTCTTGAACTCAGAGAGACCCGCCAGCCACTGCCTCCTGAGTGCTGGGATTAAAGGATGCACCACCACTTCCTACTATGATGTGAACTTGACCATGGCAAAAATGCATAATTTAAAGAACCAAAGCAGAAGTCTAAAATCTAGACACCAGGACAGAAGGAAAGAGACAGTAAGTTGTGAGGGAAAGCTCGGCTGTTGAGAAGATTCAGTGAACTCGGGATTAGTCTAACATAATTAAGAACGACTGGAGGGAAACCTGCTTCTGAACAAGGGAATTTAGGTAGGGCAAGCATGCCCTCCACTCGCTATGGAGAACGACAGATGCATAGACAGACGCCTGGGTTGAATCCCAGAGGGGAAAACTGAGGCGTCATGAGTCAGGAGCGCAGCACACCTGCCCCTTGCCTCTCATGGCAGGTGCCCGGTCTGCACAACCAGGAGCCCCTGCCAAATGCCACACCGTTATTTACAAGCAGCCAATCAAGCAACTGCAACCAGCTGGGTGGAGCAGCAGACTGATCCAAGGCCCCACAGGAACAGAGCACGGGGTGCCACAACATAACCAAGTTTTCACAATCCCTGTCCCAGGTGAGTGAAGTTAAGATCCAACTGTGGCACCTGAGACCAAAGCCAAATCCCAACCAGCAAGTTCCACGGTGACAGGACAACGACCGTTAACTAAGACAATGCATGGTCCCCTGAGCTCTGCCAAGAGGACACGGGCCCTCCAGAGGGCAAAGCAGAGCCGTTCACTCTCCTTTCCGGTGTTCTGTAAACAGGGTGCCCTACGTTCAATAGCAAAGTATGCGGCATACCGAAGGACAGGAAGAACGTGCATAATCAACAGACGCTGATGTAGGACGGCCACATGATTACAAATAGGAAGCAAGGGTGTTCAACAAAATCCCGTGTATGCTACAGAAATCAGAAAAAAGTGCAGAGACGGACAGAACCGAGGGAAATTCCACAACTGAGAAACACAGCACACGAGATGGGAATAATTTAGCGGGTAAATCAAATTACCATAGAAGAAACGAGCAAAATGAACCTTGAGAGAGACCAACAGCTAGCGGGACATCAAGGACGGCGGCTGAAGGACTGCCACAAGTTCAAGGCCAGCCGGGGTAACTGGTCAAGACTCTCTCAAAAAACAGTGAAGCCGAGAGGTAGTACACGCCTTTAATCCCAGCACGCGGGAGGCAGAGGCAAGCAGATCTCTTGAGTTCTAGAGAGCCTGGTCTACACAGCAGGTCTGAGGACAGCCAGCATTACAGAGACGTCTCAAAATAATAATAATAAAAAAAATTAAACAAGAAAGGGACAGGCAGGCTGGCACATGCCTTTAAGCCCACCTTCGAGTCCCAGGCCACCAACAATCAAGTACACCCAGGTAAGGGATTGGAAGATTGAGTCTCCAGCTCGGATGCCAGGGCACATGAGGGGAAGCTGGCGTTGAACAACAGCTGAGGGCAATCCTCTGGTGAGTCAGAGACTCCCGAACTAACACCTAAGACCCATTTCAAAACCACGAGGCTCGGAGGTGAAGGGCCAGCTGCAGCTGCTGTAACAAAATGCCTTGGATGGTGCTGCCGGATTCCACTCACACAAAGCACCCAATGTGCTCGCGCTCTTAACAGAATGGTGACTGGTAAAGGTTAGGAGCAAGGACAGGCAAGTGTTCAGCAGGTATGGAGTTCTCAAAGACAAAGACGCCCCAGAGTCTGAGACTGGGGCAGGAGAACCGCTCAGCACCAGAGACCGCTCAGCACCAGAGACCGCAACAGTTCTGCAGGTGCTGGGTTCAGCTCCCAGGACTCCGTCAGGCAGCTCCCAACATCTGCAGCTCTAGCTCCAGGGGACTTGATGCCCTCTTCTGCCTTCCACAGGCAACTGCACACACGTGGTGCAACAAACTCTTGCAGGGACACACGTTTATAAAAACAATGCATTAATAAATAATAGTCCACAGTTCTCAAACTGATGCTATTGTACGCTGACAGGAAGTTCAATGTTTTTGTCTTTTCACAAAAATCGCTGTTGCAAAAACTCAACAAGTCAGCAAGCATTCAGAAATATTTTAACATCCTGTTAGAATTTCTGTGTAAGGAAGCCAGGTCCAGTAGCACACGCCTTTAATCCCAGTACCCTGAGGCAGAGGCAGGCACAGATTTCAAGTTCAAGGTCAGGCTGGCCTAGCAAAGCTCCAGAGTGAGACCCTTCCTGTCTCAAAAAAAAAAACAAAACAAACAAACAAAAATAACCACCACATATTGACAAAACAAGTTTATGTAAAAGGAACAGTCTACGTAATTTCAATTTTCATCTTTACATTTTCCATCCTTCCAGAAATTATCATAAACATATATTAGGATCTTTTTTGTGTATGCGTGTGTTTGTTTTTTGAGACAGGGTCTCACTATAGCCCTAGCTGGCCTGGAACTCAAGTGACCTACCTATCTCTGTCTCCTCGGTCCTGTTATGAAAGGTGTGCACCACCACTTCTAGCTTCTAGATGGCTTTTATATCTTTCTCTGATGGGTCACCATAAGTGGCTAACACGTAATCCTTTTATTATTAGAAATAAAACTGTACCACAGAAAACAAGCACACACTAAAACAAATGCATATTCTACTTAAGGTAATTATTATAAATGTGGTATTTATAAATAATGGAGTTATTTAAATGTTAAAAGTGTTTAAAATGAGAGATCATAGAAATATACCAAGACTAAGATGTTCTAAAATAAATTTAGAATAAAAATTAATCCACAGACAAAGACAACTAGGATCCTAAATACATGGGGGGGGGTTGGGAGGAAATCAAACCTCTACACACTTCAAATATAAAGACAAAGATGGGTTATAAAAAAAAAGAAAGAAAGAGAGAGAGAAGAGACGGGGAGAGAGAGGAGCTGGGAACATACTCCATGGGCACAGCACTTGCCCACAGTGTGAGGCCCTGTTGAGCCTTTCAATGGGAAGGGAAGGATGGGAGGGAGGCAGGACTAGCAAACTCCAGTCATAGCTGGACTCTGATTGCACAAACAGCACATCACACGGCAAATTCCAAGAGAAGGAACCTTGATTTCAATCTTCTTAAATGTGTGTATATGTGTGTTTCTGCACACGTATGCGCCTGTGGGGGTGGGGGATGGGGTGGGCGTCTGTGGACACCTGGAGAGTCCAGAATCAGGCATCAGATCCTCTGGAGCTGGACTTAACGGCCGCTGTGAACTGACTCAAGTGGGTACTGGTAAATCAATCTTAACCACTGAGCAATCTCTCCCGCCTCAAGGAAAAAAATCTTCTCATATTTAAGAAAGACATTTCATAAAGACAAGGCCAGTTGATTAAGATACAAAATTACAGATGTGTAACAAAATTTAATACAGTTTCAGGATACAAGGAGCCAAAGTGACAACTGACACAATAAACAAATTCACCAAGATGTTCGGGGTACTTGGTGGAGGAGCCATTGTAATGATATATAAAACCTGAACAGCAAAACATGGGCCAGTTTATACAGTAGAGAAGCTGTACGCAGCTCATGCCTGGGGGCTACAGTCCCAGCTGAGGTAGAGAATCCCTGCACATTCAGGTCGTCTGGAAGACAGGACAGCAGCAGAACTACAGCCAGCAGAACACACAAGCTCTTCTAGCATTTCTATTTACCAAGTCCCAGATCTGCAAGGATTGGAATCCTGCAGAGGATGTCCTCAAACCACAGCAAAAATAGCAAGACTTGCAGGGGAAATGCTAACTAATGGGAAAATAAACAGCACCACTGTAGTTATGCTGGATCAAACCACAGGAGCAATGAGAAAGTCTCCACTTGACAGCGAGAACATCGCACATGCAAGTTTGCACAGGGCCATGCACAGTGAAAAGTGTGGCTTTAAATCTCTCCGTCAGTCCGCTGGTGGACGACTCAGTGGATACGGGAACTTGCTGCCAAACCTAAGGACCAGAGTGCAGTCCCTGTAAACCATGTGGTGGAAGAGAGAACATTCCACGAGCTATCCGCTGACCTCCACACGGGCACCTTCCCATCTCCTACCACCACCAAATAAATATTTTTGGTTGTGAGCCTAGACTTTAATGGCTGAGCCATTCCTCCAGGCTGGTCTACCAAATAAATA